TCAAAAGAACCAGATGTCCGCCTACTCTATGGAAAAATGCCTACTGTGCATCTATTCTACCGTAGACTGCTTAAAGGTAATTGAGGATATGAGCAGAACGATATCTAAACACATGTTTATAAGATGCATCGAGTTCAAAGTTACGAAATAATTTTTCTGCTTAATTAACAAAAGACACAAAAAACTGTAAGATCTAAGATTGTTTTTTCTACTGTTTAGAACAAATTCTATTCAACAAAAAAATAAATGGACATAAGCTTGTTTTTTCTTGACTAACATCAGAGATATTCAGGATTACAACAACTTGTTAACATAAAAGCCATACGTGAGACATGAGAAGCTGTTTTCTTACTCGGACATGCATTGTATTTAAAACAAGAGACGTGGTGGAAGACAGAAAGACTACAGTAGTTTAAGCAATTGACAGCACAACGTCTCCTGTAGTGCAAATGGCTGCTATTGATATAATGGATCCAAATTCTGCCATTTCTTTTCTCTGATACAAAGAAAAGTAGATGCTCGCTCTAATCGATTTTGCCCTAAGGAGGATTCTCTACAAGAATAAAAGTGTTCTGAAATCGGGCAGTGCGTCTGCTTCCATCACAAAATCGAAATTTTATTATATTCGTCCAATTCTCAATGAGAAGAAATCAAGTATATTAAACATACTTAGTTCTATAAAAAACGTAAAAAAGTCAAAGGACGTGAATAGGGAAGAAATCAGAGAAAGCGTATTTTAATGTGCAGAAATCACTTTCTACCCCCAATATGCCATTCGTAAGTGTCTCGCGCTATTTCAAAACAAAAACGGCTAAATTTGACAAGAAGGTACATGTTAATAATAGGAAAAAAGAAAAATCGGAAAACGTCTTATTGGCTGATCCGTGAAACATAGAACAATTATCCAAAATGCGAGAGGAAAGAGGACAAGAGAATCAAATAATGCAACAAATAAGATCAATGTAGCTTTCCTCTATGTTTCTGTGCGAATTGAATGTACACGGCCCAACGATAAAAGACATGAAAAAAATAAATCATCGGAAAATCACTTCAAACATTTTTTGATTTTAGTAACTTTAGGGAAGGAGTAGAGGTGTTTTACGGGTTATTCCTCATAACTGTTACAGTTATCTCGTCAAACCTTTTGTGCACTTTAACTTTTTCGTGTGAATATCACCACAATGGTACCATAGTATGTGGTAGAATCTATACGATTATTTTTTAAAAATTTTATATTTTCAATTTGTGTACTTGTTTTTCCCCTGATTTGTTATTTCAATGAAATTGTGTAAAATACAATCCAAAAAGAAAACTAGAGAAAGAGGAATCGTCTATGTTCTCGATCAAAACTCAATAAACTAACTTGTTAAATTAATAAATACCTTTTAAAAAGTAACCGATATGATATCATCCAAGGTTTAAGTAAGTTTTACTCAAGAATTATACATAAAAATAACGTTTTTCGAGTTTATGGGCAAAGTTAAGAATAAAAATTTTAAAACCATACTTAACACTAGTGTTTTTTAAAATTTCTTTTCAATTCAACCTATTCTTTATAAGAAAATAAAATGTACATATAACAAAATTCTCCATTCATAATCTCATTCTCTTTCTTTCCTCTCTCCCTGTCATGCACATGGACTTTCAGCCTTTTTTGTGATGTGTGTGCCTAGATTAAAAAAACACTAGATAATATACAATCAGTTATTTTATTTTAAACTTTATGTAACATCCTGTACGAGGAGAAACTTGAAAATGATCGTTTAATAGGTCGAAATATCGAATTATAATTTTAATGTTTTAGTTTTAATTTTTTAATTTTAATTTTTATTATTTGATTAAAACTTTTTATTAAAATTCTTAACATGATAGCCACATTGATTTCAAAATTTTTATACATAAAAACATTTCTAAAAACTTCATCGACTGAGAATAGACCTCATTACAATAGATCTGATATTTTCAACTGTCTAAACATTTACGCACTTTGCATAATGTACTCACATAAAAATCCCCGGGAACTTCGTAGTGACTCGCCAGGGACTATCACTCATTCTCCCTATTGCCCAAAATCGCAAAATTCCTGGTGATTCCTAGGAAATCATCAGGGATTTCGCAATTTTCCAGGACTCACAGGGAGAGTCAACTAGGGAAGCAACATACATGCTTCAAATGCAAAATTATCTGGTAAAAAAATGACTTCTCATTGCACAGTGACGAATATAATGAGACTTTATTATGCTCAGGAATGATTATACATGTGGGGTTTAGAAGGGTGAAATGGATTGTCGGATAGCATCTGAAAAGAAAACCAAATATTTAATCGACAACTTTCACAAGATTTTTCTCTAGAAACAACACAATTCCAAATTAACGAACTACTTACCATATTGTTAAGAATGCACAAAAGCTAAACTTTAGACCTATATATATATATATATATATATTCCCTTGACTGAAGAAACAATTCGCAAATCACTCAGTCACGCTTAGTTGCTAGTGTATAGAGAGTCTGGCTAAAACAGGCACAGCAGCAGCGACTCATCAACTGAATTTTGCATAGAGAATGATCCTTATGAGAATGATCCTAAGTATTTTTCATAAGACATGGTCTAGAAAAATAATTGTGTCTGTCTGTCTGTTTGCTCGCACATTATGCACCGTTTTCAAGGCGGATTCTACATAAAAAGGGAGTTTACAGCTACTGATAGATAGTTTTTTGGGCTAGAGCGATTATTCATCAATGTATGAATATACAGCAAAGTGTAACACATAAAGACAATCCTTGTACAGATAACAGACAAATCCGAACTGCAAAAATAAACTTATATACAATGCTTGAGGTTGTGCCATTATTAACGGTGAGTATCACTCTTAACGAGCAGATAATTTTCTTCGTAATACAAGCGAGTTGTGATGAAGTTTTAGAAGTTTGTTTCCCGTTTGTCTCAAGTACGAATCAGTCATGGGAGTCGTTATATCAGCATGATGTACGTTTACTACATATATATGTCTTTATATAGGTCTAAAGTTTAGTTTATATATACTCGAGGAAGAATAATTTAAAAATCTAAAAATCCCTTTTCAACATCTTTGTGAAAGATAACATAAAGAGTACCATTTTGTTTGAAAAACAGCTCTTCGTGGAGTTGAGGGAGAACTAAGGACAAACACAAATTATGCTTTTATAGACCTTAGACGTGAAATGTGTAAAGTGGTTTTATTCAGGTTCTCGTACATTAAATTAAATTACCGAGTAGTAGGCCATGAAAGCACTTTTTGTACCATATTTTTTTATTCTATATTTTTTATAGCTTTCTATAATTTTCTCATGTGTTTACAGAAAAACCAGCAAAAAAAAATATCTTTTTTCTCTAATATAAACGATCAACTGTAAATAAATACAAACACACGGCGTGAAGTATCTTTAGCACACACAAAAAAAAGAGATTCAAATACGAAAAAAAGAAGAATCGTCATTATTTATTAGTCGTGATGGTAGTGGTCGTAACACATGAAGCAACAAGAAAAAGATAACTCGTAGGCCATTATCGCGCGAAAGAAAAATGTGGAGAAGTCATGATCAAAAATCGAAAAAAAATAATGAAATTCGAAACAGACCAATACATACTTTTGTTACCGTCACACACATATTTTTTTCTTTGAATAATACTGAGACAACAAGGAAAAATAACGGATAGAATACTTAAAAAAATATGTACGCAAGCACGAATGTTTTAGTTGACTACATTTAGACAGTATAACGGTAAACAGAAGTGTTGGCTAAATTCGGTAAGGACAAAAAATAACGACAAATAGAAAAATAATGTGATAGCCCAAACGTAAAAAACGGGCTACTAAGTTCCACTATAAGAAGACACTTACAACACAGACAGACAAAAACAAAATACTAATCTACGGTTTACAAAAAAAAAATGGTTTCCGATTTGTTCCTGAGACAGAAAATATGTGCAAACTGTTCACATTGTCAAATTGTCTAGGATAGGCTCTTTGTGTTCTATGTGCACACTGTTATGCAAGCCAAAAACAAAAACACAAACAAAAAAAAGTAGCGTACAAAGAAAATTGCTACTCTATAAGAAACAAGAACAAGACAGAAAATTACTTGTATATGAGAGAAATCGATTCATTCTTTGAATTTTTCACCAGGACAAGTTGTGGAACAGGATGTCAACAACAAAAGAAAAAAACAACTAAAAACCTCAATTTGAATTTTAAAAAATGCGATGATATGTTTACGGGTATGTGTGATAGAGAAAGAGTAAATTTACAAAAGGTATTTACAACACAGAAGAAGAGAAAGAGAACAGGTCTAATTTTGTGTTTTCGTTCATAAACGTATGAAAAGAGAAGAGACAGAGAGAGAGAGAGAGAAAGATTTAGACACAAATCCGTTTTTTTGGTTTCGTTTTATAAATCAAGAAACTGAAAAAAGAGACAACTAAAGAAACACTGGGTTCAACTGAAGTAGAGAAAAAAAGCTAACAAAAAGAACAGTAGACAAATACACTCTCTCATCCATACACGAACACAAACAGACACACGCGCACACAAATAACTCTCAAGGAATGTCAATGGGAAAACCTTAGCTATTAAGTTAAAGTTTGTAACGTTCCCTTTTTGATGAGAAATACTTCACGTAAATCATTTTTCTAGTTGGTGTTATATATCCACAAATCAAAAAAATGTTATTAATATAATTCCAAAAACCAGCTTGATAAAAGACATCAAGGGATCCGGATCCCAGCCATGCTAACTCGCACTCACTCACTCAAAATAGAGAATTAAAAGAAAATTACTTAGAAAATTTTGTTTTTTTTTGTCAATTTTTTTGTTTTCAATTTTTTTTAATATATTTTTTGTATGTTTTTTTGGTTTTTTTTTAGCCACTCGGTTTATGCAAAAAAAGAGAGGAAGAGAAAGACTTGGTGTTTTGCGCGATGCCGAAAAAAATATAAATAGATCATGAAAAAAACTGCTTAATGAGAGTAATTTTGGGACAAACGTTGTTGAGATGATAACGTTGATGATGATGACGAATTCGTTGTATTCGTTGTTTGTGATTGTGACTGAATGTAGGGCGATATTAAATCTGGCAAATTATTTCGAAGATGATAATTATTATTGTTTTGGGATTGCTGTTGTCGAAAATAACTATTAGTCCTATGTGGATGTGTTTCACCATTTTTGGGATGTCGACGAGATGTTTGATGTTGTTTACGAAGAGGATACGACGGTTCTCGCCACCCTCCTCCTCCGCCACCACCACCGCCACCACCAGCGCCATTTTGATAATATTTTCGATTATTATTAACATGAGAATAATTGCCGTTTGTGTTGTTTGAGTAATACTGATGTTGAGGATAATGTGATGGCAAATGATAATTCTGATGTTGTTTTTCAAATAGCCTAATTAAAAATAGACAATTTGCAAATTAATAAAAGAAAATTCTCCAGTAGAAGCTGACGCAAATAGTATGAAATAAAGTTAATATCTAATAAAGGTATGCGTAGGCTGCGGATAGATACATAAAGAATTCACTCCTTTGTCCTCATAACTTCTATTCTTCATGTGAACTCTAATATGTGGACGACAGTGCGCTCGAAATTTTGAGTTCATATGGAAGTTTATTGCGAGAACAAAGGAACTCCAATGTGTCCAATGCAACTCAATAAATTATGCCTTACTTGTTGTTCATTAAGAGCTTGATGCTTACCCTTTGTCATCAATCGTTTGTGTGGCAGCTGCTATATTCATAAATGGCGGTATAGGTGATGGTGTTGATGAATGTGGTGAAATTAATGTAGAACAATCTGTTTCCGTGCTGTTGGTCGTTGTTGTTGTCGATGTTTCAGGTAGTTCTTTTAAAGCTGCAGTCGGTGTCTTTTCACTATCATAATCATCATCTGTTTGATTACCATTAATTAAAATACGTTTATTCACAATTGTATCATTGACTCTTGGTGTTTCACTGCTTGAATTATTTGCATCATCAAATTTATTATTGATATCACTATTTATAGATAACGAAGATGAACTAACGACAGTTTTATCTAAGCGTTGTTGCGAACGATCACGAGTTTCATTGTCCTAAATAGAAAGAGAAAGTTTATCGAAAATATTTAGACATGTAAAAGTATCATTTAGTACTAGGTAGAGAGTACGTAAGTTTCTACAGAAAAAAAGCAATGCTTTTTCTCACTAGCAGCCATGTTTCTAAAAATAAAATTCAATTAATCGAAAAGAAACAAAGAATATGATCATTGGACTACTTACAGAATCACTTGTTATACTGGAGCTTGACGATGTATTATTGGATGACGATGTTGATTGTGCACGGGAACTATCAGTACTCGTTGTATAACGTGATGAAAGACTTTTGACATCATTTCCATTTGTTTGTGGTTGTGATGTTTCTGACTTAGATTGATGAGAATGATGGTCTGGGATCAAAGTGGTTGCTATTTTCAATGCTTGATTATTCGGGAAGTGACGATGTACTCCATTTTTTGGTATTGTGGAACACATAGAACTTCGAAGAAAAGAGTATATAACCATTATTATCAAAAGAGTTAAATTTTCAGTGACGAAGTTTTAAAAAACTACAATTTATTCTTCTTTGACTTCAATAAAAACAGATACTTCTACTCCTTCTAGTCTAGAACTTAAATAGACTAATTTTTCACTGCAGAACGATTCCCTTGTACAACTCATTACTGATACAGTATAAATTCCATTTTATCGCATAATCCGAGTTAGACAATATACATCTCACAGCATTATTTTCAAATAGATCTCAAGAAAGTGATACTTACTATGATTGCTGTTGCTGCTGTGCAACTGGTATGATCATTTGTGGTGCCAGTTTTGTATGAAAATAATTGTGTAGACGTTTTCGATACTTTATCAGATCATCATCAATGACTATAATCTGACCCAATATACTAAAATAGAATCACCAAAAAAACAACAACAATACTATTATCAACAAATGCAATTCACACACACCTTCGCGATTTATCAACTACGGGATTTGTTGGATTCACAGCATTCTGTAGTTTATCAAACGCATTTCGAAATGCATTTTTTATTTCAACTGTTTTATACGATGCTTTGCCAATATCATTATCTGGAAAACAGAGAAAAATATAATATAGTATAGAGAAAACTATTTGCTTCACATTGATCTTACTTTCATTAAATGGATCAACAATACATAAAAGACCTGTTGATCGATGTCCACAATTGAATTTTGTAAATAGTTCATCTTTTGGTATATATCCATTGCGTTTATTTGATACATCAGATGTTTGTACTTTGATACCAAATTTTCCATAGTTAAAAACAAGTCCATATAATTCAAGAAAACGAATCAGTAAATCACCAAGATTCATATGAAATTGCTCAATATCAGGGTTGCAATGAAGCTAAAAAAAGGAAGTAACAATATAAATACAAAACGTTAATGAACAGATAATCTAATACCTGAAAAAAATTGACTAGCATAAGAATAAGACTATAAGAACTAATTCCTCCCGTCCAAACTTCATTGAGATCGTGTTGAACAAGATATTGTTTTAAAACAAATACAAGATAACGCAACAATGGAAATTCTTTCAAATATTTCTAGAATAAACAAAAATAAACATAATGAAATGAGGAGAATATAAATTAGAGAACTAGAGACATTGTTACTTACCGAAATTAAATGTGCACTTCGAACACCATTATTCATATTAAAACTCATATCAACTCTAAGTTCTGTTTCATTATCAACTAATTTGATAATAGGTGTTGATGCATAATTAAGAACATTTATATTTCCTTCAGTACTAATGCCACATTTACAAAATGCATCTTTTAAAGTTTTCATTAATGAATATAATTCATCATCTTTCCAATTACGTTGATCAACAGAGTAAACCAAAAGATCAAGATCACTCAAAAGAAGAAAATTACATGAAAAAGCAACGAAACAAAAGATGAGAATTAAATGTTACCTGCGAGGTAAATATAGCTGTGTACGAAAACTTCCATAAATATCAACCTGGAAGATGGAGAAATATCAGCTAATGTTTAAACCAAGCAGATTTGTTGCTCTTCTCAGAGATAAAACTATCTTTTTCATGAGAAGTTTAATATTCAAACTTACAATTGCATTTGGAACATGTTCATGAATAACACTTTTGATTCGATCGACAACTTGTTGTCGTACATAGGCTTCTTCACATTTTGGTTTAATAAATTCCTCAAATTGAACAATTTCATAATGTAAACGTAATAATGGAATTGTTGGACTAGCTGTACACCTGTAAGCGAAATACAGCTCAATTATTTTAACTATCCAAATAGTCATTAGCCGGGATTTTTCTCGGGAACTAACCATAAAATACTTCAAACAATAGTAGAAGAAAGTTAACAAAGCCTGCATGAATTCTACGACGTTTTTCTTCGGAAAAAGAGCTGTGTTGAGCTTACGCCATGAAATCGAATAATTTTGATGGTATTTCTATTTTTCTCCATACAGAATAGTTATTTTTATCGTTTCTATTTTGTTTTTGTTTTGACTTTATCGGCAACATTAAATCTTTAATTGTTTTGGCTTGATGTACAGCAGATGAATCACCATTTTGATAATACGATCTTAAATCATTTTGTGATGCACACTCATGGATATTTGGAGAATTAGTCCGTTTTTTGCACGCAATTATTTCAGTATCTGAATATCCCCCACCACCATTCGTAGATTTTAGTATATTTTTTGTATTTGAATTTTGTATAGAAGTACAATTTGGTTTTGATACTATTTCCCAACATGCATTCCACGTTTCTTCAGCAATATTCCAAGGTAAATTGAGATTTTTCATAATAAATGCAACAATGTATAAATCGAATTTAAAAAAAAATCAGTAAAAGTTATTCCAACATTATGTAACGAAACAAGAGTCTAAATGACAAATCAAAATCAAAAATCTAAGCGATATCAAATAGATTAATCATTAGAAAATACGTACATTTCGACTAATAGTTTAAATAAAAACAAACAAACAACAACAAAAAATGCAAACAAGCGTTTTTTTTTGTCTGAATTGAATAAATGTTTAAAATTGAAACAGCAAAAGTAATTTCGAGCATTTGAAAGAAGAACACATTTAGCAATAGAAGAATAATAGATGTATACGAGAATTATACAAATGCGATCTAAAATAGAGAAAAGCGAAGCAATGTTTATATATAAAGTTATATAAAGAAGCATGAGAAAAGCGAACTTCTATTTCTCTCTTCACAAAAATTGTTCTTTTTTTTTCTTCTCTCTTAGTCCGTGTATATATAGGAAGCAATTCTCTATCAAAAAACAGCTGATACATGTAAAATTTAAAGAAATTAAGAAATTTCAACATGCCGAGTGATGCGTTTATACTTTCTATCTATGATAATTCCAGATGCAATTCGTATGATAAACAGTCAAATACAGAAGAATGAAATCTATCGATCGAATCCAGGCAAGATAATGTATTTACTATTATTAGAAAAAAAGACAAGATTTTCTCTCCAAACGTCGACGGACTAGCTACATACGCAATTTCTTCATGATAGAACAATGTCTTAGTTAAATGGATAGTGTAGTAAAAAGATATAAAGACATCGTTGTACTAGAATGATCGTGAGAATAACCAACAGATTACATACGCAAAAAAATGAGAAACCACCTACTGAACAAAATCTTTTTTTCTGTTTAATTTTTCTTACATATTGTCACATGGTACAGGCAAACAAAACAAAGGATAAAGCCAGATTGCTCTGCATCATTGTGAAGGACAAATAATAGAAAACATGATGGACGAAATCTAATCCGATAACGATCTCGATCCATCAGTATCGCCACAATCGATTTCAGAAGAATTTTAATGATTTCAGAGTTTAGATGAGCGAAAATCAAGCATGAAGAATAGAAATCTGTCGCATTTATAGTGAGATTTGGAGTTTATCTAATTCAGATTCGTCTTCTATCTCAATCTTATGATAGCGCCCCCTCTCGGAGGCGGCTACATTGTTCCACTGGAACGAACATACAATAATTTCATGTAGTCTTGTGTTTCTTCATATGTGTTGAAATCGCTTGAAGAAGGCTACCAGTTTCTACAGGCTTCCTCTTAAAATAAAAATAAATCATTGTTGTGGTCCAATAAGCATAATTTTTTACTAGTAAATTGATATTCCTTCTTTCCTTTGGATTAATGATCAGAGATGGGCAACTCCAACTCCGGAGTTGAGCTTCTTTTTAGTGGAGTTGGAGTTGAGTTGGAGTTTCGTTTTTATTAGATTAGAGTTGAGTTGAGTTCAGATTTTTTTCAACTCCAACTCCACAACTCCAGTTAAAAATTTTTGCAACTCTGAAAATTTTTTTTGTTTTTGTTACGTCACATAAAAGCAATATTAACATGTGTCCTATTGGAGTTGAAACGGAGTTGGACTTGGGATCTGTGGAGTTTGAGTTAGAGTTGGGGTTGAACTTCTTTAAGTGGAGTTGGAGTTGAGTTGGAGTTGAACTTAGCCGGAGTTGCCCATCTCTGTTAATGATTATGTTACCGAGCTTTTTACTTGTACGCCGCACGACTTACAGTACTTATACTAACTGCCACGGCTGCGTCAAAACACGAGGTTGTGGATGGCGATTAAGACTACCACCCATCTTTTTTTTCTTTTCTTTGTTAGTAAAAACAAAATGGCTCAAAAAATTGAATGAAAATCTCCCGAAACAACACATAATACGATCGATTCTGAGATCAACGAAAAATGACATTTAATAACTCATGTTAACTGCATAACGAAAAAATTGACTTTTAATCGGCTAAAAATTGTTCGTTACAGTCACCGTTATTTGTCTTTTATTTCACCGTGAATCACGAATTACGGTGTAAAAATAGGCATCTAACGTTGCCAGTTAAATGTCAGTTTTTAACCATTTCTCAACAACCCAGACCCCCTTTTTAAAACGCTCCCACTTTACATGCCTAAAAACGATCAAAAAATTGTCGCAATAGTCTAAAAATGTTCATTAAAGAAACATAGAGTAGGATCTAGATGGGTGTTTAATAGACAGTTAATTACACCGTTTTCGACGTCCTGAGTTCGTTCTAGCCGATTTATCTGTGAAAAAAATTGATTTTCATAATGTAGTATTACGACGAATAGCTAGGTGCAAGGGTAATAGTAAAACATGAAGACACCCAAAGACAGCACACAGACATCCGCAAACAGGGACACAGACAGCCACCGACATCCATGGATGTCTGTGTAGCTGTCGGTGGTTGTATGTGTGCTGTCTGTGGATGTATGTGTGCTGTCTGTGGATGTATGTGTGCTGTCTGTGGGTGTCTTCATGTTTTACTATTACCCCTGAGTGCAATATGTTTGCATTTAAAAACTGCACAATATAGACCATGCACTTGGTATAATTACAGAAACTATTATCTGAAATCTGGAGACACTTTACTTCATGAGAGAAGATAAGTTGACGTTCTCTAATCTATAAATTGTCATTTTAAAGTGACAATTTTATCCCTGATCTGTTATTAAAGATAGAGAAAACTTAAGATGTTCTTCTATGTTTTAATCTATGTTCAAAAGATTGTAGAATAATTGCTTAAATATTAAAAGAACAATGTTGAAGATACTTATCACGTGTGTGACGCATAGAAATTTCAATTTTTGGCTTGTTATGTATTGAGAAATCGTTAATTAAACGTCATACAATACTAATTTTGTTGAAAATAATTAGAAAAAATTAGAAAATATTAATATTAAAATTATTTATTCGAATTATTGACGAATAGTAAAATAACACTTATTACTCAATGTAATCGCAAGAGAATTTTTTGAACGTATGTAGAATCTAATAAATTTTTGTATAATCAAAATAATACCAAAACAAGTTTACATTCAGTTTACATTCATCATCATTTCAATCTTATGCCGATTATCTGATATTTTTTAACAATACAATTGAAATCAACATACGAATCAATAGTAATATCAGATCAGGTAAGAAAAATCCCAATAAAAATATTTTTCTTCACATCGATGCTTTAGAATATTTTGATTAATAAATTATTAGAACAATTATTTACGTTAATCGCACGAGGACCATTCCACGTAACAATTAACTCTTGCATGATTCCGACACTATTTGCCAAATTCATAGCTCTTCAACAATATAACTTACACGATTTGGACACGTCTTATATTGTAGTTTAAACATTTTCTTTAAAATGACACTTAGACAAAGTTCAAGCGATTGGCTGAGTTCGAAGATAAAACGTGTGAAAAGCCACCCCTTGCGAAAATGGCTTATATCTAAAATATTGTATCTATTAAGTGAGTCACTCATTGAACTTTGCTTAAGTGTCATTTTAAAGAAAATGCTTAAACTATAATATAACACATTTTTCATCTCTCTAACTCACATGGCTGACGAGCTATGAATTTGACAAATGGTGTCAGAAACATGCAAAAGTTGACCGTGACGTAGTATGGTCGACGAACAATTTATGTATCGGAAAAGTGGCATCTCACTGATAAAAGGCAAAAAATTCATAGACAGCAGAAAGATATTAACACATCAAGAAATTCATTTTCTAAAGAGTGGTGTCAAGCTCCACAGTTCCGCAGAAATTCCACAATTCAAAGTGTCGCTACTCACTCTCATGCCCCTCTCGTCTTCTACTTTTATATTCTCTCTAAGAATTGGCAGATTCTGGTCCAATTCTGCCAGATTCTAGTAGAACTGTAATTGGAATTCTACCAGATTCTGAACGGAATCTTAGTAACAGTATATATTTGAATGTACCAAATTCTGTCAGTTCTAGGAATTTCCATGGAATTGTACAACTGGACACTGCTGTTTCCAAATGGCAATAGAGAAAAGAAATTTTACTGTTAAGAGGTAATCATATGTTTAATATAGAGTCCAGCAGCATTTTAATCTCTTTTTGAGACATGTCTTCTCAACAAACAAGAACGAACGTCAATTATCTGACCATATCATCAAATTCAATCGTATCTTTTATTGACCATGTATAATAAATAATTAAACTTGGATTATTGTACCAATATATCAAAAACAATATTAAAAAAAACAAACCTATTGATTGTTTTAATGATATAAATTAATCACATTCGTATCGAAATTATCTATGAAGAATTATGAATGTAGAATGTCTATGTCAGAGGTACAAAACTGAATATATTTAAATATAAATCTGCTTCTATTTGTACGAGATATTTGTATTTATTGGAAGTATTATTGGAAACAAGACAATATTTTTCATAAAAATTTAACAGATATTTCTAGATAAAATTTAAATAACATTCTTACGTGTTTCATGTAGATATTGATTTCCATAACGTAGAAAATAATCTAGACTTATATTCTTTAATCGAATATTCTACAATCTAACAATCATAAATTCCTTTAACACAATAATTCCATGCTTGATTACATACATAAGCTGTTCACATCAATCATAATCTTCAAGTTGCCATTCTATTTATATCATTGCTGATTCCTCATCATTTCGCTCTAAAAATTGGTAGATGTTATCATTAAATGTAGCTTTCTTTCTATCAGTATTAAAATCTTTAAATACATATTTAAAGGAGAATTTAGAGTTTAGCTAGTTCATCTCTTATCCATTGATGTACGCTGGTGTCCGGATAGTTATTTATTCGCTGTTATCTAAATTTTACTTCGATTGTATCTTTCTTTTCTTTTGAACACATTTGAAAAGTTTGTAAGCTTTTTTGTCCCTCTTGTGTAATTTACAATAAGACAACAACAAAATATCCACACTCATCTTAAGTGTAA